ATGAGAAAAGGAAATGAATGTAGACTCTAAATTCTATAGAGAACTGCATGAAAGAATTTATAAAAGCATCTTTAGAAATACAATTGGAAACTTGCCATCATCTCTAGGTGCTTGGTCACTTTTAGAAATCTGCCCCTAAAAGAGCTCTGGTATAAAATAAATGATAAACCAAGGCTTTATGTCCAAGAATGATCTCAGCACTGGATTTTAGAAGCTTAAAAATCTTTCTTTTTATTTTTCTTAGCTTTGTAGAGAGTTGGTAGGACAGTACATTAATCTACGCATACAAGGTTTGTATTCTTTGTGTAAAGCAATCTGGTACTGAGCTGCTGTGTGACCTTAGGCAAGTCTCTTCTTTTTATAATCCTTTTCTCTCTATTTTGTGTATTTAGGTTCTAGTCATGTTGCTCTGGGACTCCTAGCTGTAGCACAGTACTCAGGATATTCAGAAGAAAAATGATGAGGTGTTTATCTCTGTATTATTTTCTGTTCATTCATAACTTGAAAAATAACAATTTCTAGGTTTAAAATGGAATATGTCTTTGGAAAACTATGGAACCAGCAAGTGAAATCTGTGCAGTATTGTGGTGCAGCTCCTCCATTTCCTTGGCATGAACACTGTGGCACAGAGTGAGTCACAGAGATATTGATTGACACAAAGATAAGTCAGAGGCACGCCTGTTGGTGTAGATAGAGTGGGCTTTATTAGACAAGTAGGTTAATGAGTCAGTGTAGACATGGTGATTATATTTGTGCTTGTGACTCAGAGACTAGTTCTAGATGGCAACAGAAGGAGAACTTGGTGGGACTACAAAGGACTTCTCTGCCCTAAAGCAGCAGTTGGAAGGCAGGAAAAGTGAAGAAATCCCAAGCTTTGATGAAAGTGCAGCTGACAGTGTCAGAAGTAGCTTCTGGGCTTCAGAAACAAGGCTGGAGAGCTGGTAACAAAGTAAGACATACAAAGGTCCGGAAAAACTTTGAAAAAAGCGGTCTCAGTGAAATAAGAAGAGAAAGAACTGGATTGGAGAATGAGGAGTTAAAAGAAGAGATTAGGAAGGGAAAATGAATGGCCAAGGGTTAAGACAGATCACAGATGTGAAAATAGCCAATAGCTTCATGATACAAAGGGTGAAAAAATGGTTAAAACAAATTGAAATGGTTTTGTGAATCTGAAATGAAATCTTTTCAGTATTTTCTTTTCCAAATTTTATTATATTTCATTAGATTCAGAATGAAGTCGAGATTGGAGACCACAAAATCCTTTGTGAAATGGAACATCTGTCTCCTGCACATTTCTCATTGCAAGTCAATGAGTTCTGGTTAAAATTGCTTTCTGCTTTCCATGTTTATCTGATACCAGATTGCTAAATAACTTGAATAATTTAGAGTTTTAAAACCTTTACACTTTTATATAAACTGATCTTAAAGAATTCTGAACCAATCGATGCTAAGATAATTCTTTTATTTATTTATGAATCACACAGTGGCAAGATAGAAAAGAGGAGTTCTCCATGAAAATTTTTGGATTGGCATGAGAGATTATGTTTCCAGAAAATCCAGGAACTAATTTATTTCAGTCTAATTGCTGGAGATTTGAGTACTTTAATTATGATACCATAATATCACTTGGCACTCATAATCTCCAAATATATCAAAATATACGTATAAAATATGGTACAGTCTCTTCCAGAAAGGCAACGCACTTTGCTCTTACAAACTCATTGCATGTCAGAGTAGTCAGCTTCCTTTTTTTAAAGAGAAGCTTCAAATCTGAGATGATTTTAACCGATCTACTGACTTTCATTGTTGTCATGACAACATCTTTTGCACGCGGGTTTGGCTTGTATATGTACAAACAGGTTTCTTTTAAGATAGTTCAGATGGTGATATGAAGCTATATTAAAACAGTCTTTACTATAACATCTGTAAAGATGCTATCAGATTTAGGTACACACAAACTAAAATATGCCATATGTTTCAGCTGAGATATCCCTGAGAAAAACAAGGTTCCTTGTTTCGTCTCGAGTAGAAATCAGGTTGTAAACTTTTATGTTACTCTTCCAGGAAGAAAGACAAACATTTCTGCTAGGAATAGATCCACATATTGTGAAAACAGGGTGAGAAACCTTATTTAAAACTCTGTATTTCAAGTGATCATAGAAAATGTGTGGACAATTGGTCACCTATCTCAAAATTTGTGAACGAATTTTTCCTTTGCCACCAGACGTGGGAGGTGTATAGATGGGATGGTTGTATGACTGACCTGCATGAATACTGGGAAGTGGTCACTGGCTGTCGTGTTGGTTGGACAACGGAAAGGATGTTGTGAGCAATAGAAACAGCTTTCTCACAGTTGTGTTCAAACATAGCCTGGGGGTACTTCGTAGCATAACATTTCTTCACATCCCCTCCTTTTGGCAAGTACTGCTTTGCACAACAACTGATGGCTCCCACTTTGTCATAGTACATTCATATCTCCTGAAACATTCAATTTTTGTCTAACTTCTTTGCTTCTTGCTCCCTAACCTACTGCTGCATTGCAGAAAAAATACACTTTCAAAACCAAATCAATTTGAATTGCCAGGGATGCACTGTTGAGCTACTTTTCGACATGCCCTTAACATGCTTTTTGCTCTTGATGGCTGGGACCAGATCCCTTTTTTCTTAACCTTTTCAAATCCAGAATCTGATGCAGATACTTAAATATGGCAATATAATTTTCTGCTCATAGTTTTGCTTGCATTCTCATTGTTCCTGATTTTACTGCATCGGACGCATCATGAACTGGAAAAACAAGCAAGCAACCAAATAAAAACACAAGCAAACAAACAAACAAAATCCCCACCACTTTCTGACAACATAGCTCATCTGCCAGTAATGTACCATTTCCCTTCATCCAGGGCTTTTGAGAGTCCAGAGAATTGACCTCTAATGCCTGCTAGTTTCTTGGCATTTCCAAGCATTTCGTGGTATTTCTAAATGCACTGGCTTCTTCATTCATCAGCCCCCTGTGTCAGGAAGAGCTCTCAGGGTTCTTGCTCCCCACTGATTTCCAGTTTCTGGCAAAGTACTAACAAAGTTTCATATCTCTTCATTTAACTGGCAGCTGCAAATAAATGTTCCTATTTTCATCAACACTTTGGGGAGCTTCATGCAACAATTTCTATTCTTTTCAATATGCAAATGCCCCAGTTTCCTTGTGTTTCCTCTGAAAGTGAGTGGAGTTTATCACAAAAAGAAACATCTTTTATTAGATTAATGCAGTGAGAAGTAAAAAGCAGAGGAGCTAGCGAGCACACAAGCTTTTCTTCATCTTGCAGAGACAGCTGCTCTCATGCTGCTAACACGTAACCATAATCATTTCTTAGCTGCCTCACATCAAGAACAGTCTTCAGATATGAAGGAATGAAACCTCACCACTGAATCATAAACCTGGTGGGACTGTCAACGTAAACTCCCCAGGAGGGTTGAGGAGGGTTTAAGTAATTTCCAAGAAAAACATGGAATCTCTCAGGTATCTGAACAGCACAGGTCCCAAAACAATGAATTTTAGCAAAAAATGGTGTTTTATGTGAAAATTCATGGTCATATTCCCTTGTTGTTCTTCTACTGTTTAAAAATCAAAGCAGAAACTTAGGCAGCCAAGTCACACAACAAGCGTAATGAACATTGATAGCAGGAGTGAATGGTTTGTGAGCAGTCTATAGCTTGAATGTTACTCATCCAGATTATTCAGAAAATACCAATGAATAACAAATGCTCAGACAAAATAAGGGACAATTTAGTCAATGGTCCCATCTGCACTTCTTGAAGCTAGTTATTCAAAGGTGGCGGAGGCGGTGGTAGTGGGGAGTTTGACAGTATTGGAATCACTGCAATAAAATCCCATTTCAAATGAAGTGATGGCAATAAGGGTAAACTATATGGGAGTGCAGATGAGACCCAGAGGAAGGCTCTCGCTCTCATTAGTTATGTACTGCAGTGGCTTTGCTGTTAGTTACTCACTTCAGAATAAGCTCAGAAATCATCTGATAGGTTACTCAACACTCAGGAGTCCTGTACACAATCTACAAGAAGCAGAGAATACTTGGTGGAGGTTTTATAAAAGGACAGAACAATAATGAGGATGTATGGCCATGAGGATGTGCACTGCGGTGAGGTAAATAAATAATAGAAATACCACGTTAGGTAAAGCGCAGAAACAAAATCTTCTGTGACTAATGAGAGACACAGAGTATACCCAGATTCACATTGAGTGGGATGCGGGGATCTTAAATAGCAGCAAACCTTTGAACTCTGGATCCAGAAGCAACATAGCCACGTCAGGGTGATACAGTGCTTCAGTTAATTAACAGAATGAGATGTCACCAACACATTTATGTTGTGTACATAGGCCCCTAATTGCTGCTGGGTGGGCTTTAGATATTATGTCTAAAAATGCAATATAGATGAAAATGCCAGCTGAGCTGTGGCCTCAGCTGAGAGGTGACCAACTTGGCATATGCCTTCCATACCCCAGGACCTTTAGGAGCTAGGATCACAGTTCCAGCATGTTCCCAGAGAAATATTTCTTGCAGAGGGTGACTAGGGACAGAGGAAGCAGGCAGTTACCCCACACCATCAGTACATCTGAGCAAGGTTGGTGCTCTCACAAAATGAAATCCCAGATACTTCCTTTTGGAAGTAAATGCCACCAGTACTCTGGTGCTAGATTATCAAAATCTTAGAATCATAGAATCATTTAGTTCATGCATAAATGCATGAACTGTATTTCAACCTCCTCAGCAAGTAGTAGTCACTATTCCTTTTTTTTTTTTTTTTTTTTTTTACCTGCAAGCACTGATCAATTAATTTTTTTCTCCCTATTGTATCCCCTCTACAAACTAGCCCATGAGGACTTTATCTGGTAGCTCATCTACAGACTTTAAGAAGCTCCTCTGATTGTTCTTCTGTAACTAATGTAGAAAAGTGACAATTTTAGCATCTTTGTTTTATTCCAGGGAATGTCAGAGCTGCATTCTGCCAAGGAGGGGAGGGGGAAGTAAGACTATCCCCACTCAGAGAGTAGGGGTGCAGAGCCCTGCCCTGAAGTCCCATGAAAGTGGAACCACCTGCAAGGGTTATTAGCTTCACCTCCAGAAAAAGGTAAGATTTATAACATACTTTGTGCATCATTTCTTTTTATCTAGTACTAAATTGTTTTCTGCTCAGCTGGTTATCTGAATCACTAGTTTCATGAATCTAATTCTCTCTTAAGCTTTAAGAGGGAATGTATGTATCTTTCATAGGGTTCCAGTTTCCCTCTGAAGAATGGAATAGGCTTGTGAACATTTTTGCCCTTTATTGCAGTAGCTCATTGTTATTATGTAAAGCATGAACTATCTTCACTAATCTATTCGGTGACTAAAAAAAATTACAAAGCTGTACATAAAAAGAAGATAAAGCATGGAAAAATATCATAACCAGTGGGGCAGGAAAATCCTTGACTGCCTCATTTCTGAGCAGGAACTTCTCCCAGTGCTCACCTGCACAGCCAGGTTTTCCATAGAAATGTGTTCTTCCCTCACTGTGTGACAGTGTTCAGTTTTGCTCATAATCTAATTAATAACATGTTCACATGAAGTCATGTCTATCATGTTGTCACATCAGTCTTACAAAGCGATACACCAGAGCTTTCTCACTTCATAGGAATCAATCTCTGCAGAACCAGAGGCAACACAAATCCATTTAAAAAGAAACGTGTAAGTGTAGTCTCATATATTTGAGGAAAAGCTTCTAACAAATGCCATTCACGTTTGTCTTGTAGTTTGTGATTCCAGGATCTTGCTCAAACAACTGAACAATAGTATCCATGTGGCAAATTGCCACCTTGGTGGCCAAGAAGATAATGTACGTTATTATGTAGACATTATCTAGTCAACAGCATACAGAAAGTCTTTGAAGCATTTTAAATTGTAGCCTTCATTTTGTTCTCCAAATAGTGTACCAAATATTTTGATCATTGCTTTTCATTCAAATTGTATCTTTAACTCCTCTTCCTATCTCACTATTAGCTTCCACTAAACACATAAGATAGATGAGCGGAAGTAGGAGCCCATGCTGTTCTGAGATTAGATAAAGAGATGATGAAAGGTCTTAAAGTGAATGAGGAAATAACCCAGGTGTTCTAGACAAGCAATAATGCAAATACTTGGGAAATGAATGAACGCTCATTTTTTTTGTGCTAGTGATGTTTATGGAAAAGTATAAAATACCTGGATGTTCACAAATAAATTCTAAATTCTATTATTGTTTATTTTAAGTTTGTGATCCCCAGTATGGTCATCTTAAGATTATTTTGTTTACAAAGAAATTTCTTTTGAGCACTCTCATAGAAATATCCAATTACTTGTCATATGAGTTTTATCTGTCTCACTCTGTTCCCCAATTATGTCAGAGCTACTGCACTGAAAACAAATGTGCTTTTTCTCTACAATCTCCCTGCTCCTATAAAAGCCATAATGATGTCAAAATGTTAAATTAGTGATGATACGCCCTCCCTCCCTCCCCCCCCCCCCCCCCCCCAGATAAAAGAATCCACATAAATCACATAAAATTAAGACTATATTATCTCTGTGGTATGATGAGAAAAGAGCAATGTAGAAGAATGTGGAATGATCCCATCCTGTCTGCAGATTCTGCAGATGCCTGGGTCCCCCTGAAGTGAGCTTTGTCCCTGGTCGCTGGCCATGGAGGCTGAAAGTCCTGTGTCCCAGAGATGGAAAATTTTGGTATGAAGAAACCAAGTTCTAGATATTGACGAGTATTCATGTGTTATTCCCCTTGAAATGAATAACTGTAAGCTACTTAAATACAGTCAAAGCACAGGATCTTATGATTTTCCCAGCACCACTTCAAGAGTGGGTAATGAAGCAGAGAATTAAACTTGTGTATTTGAACTTCTGAGCTACTGTTTTAGCTACTGGGATATGATGACACAGTATAACAATGTGATCTTACCAGCATTGCCCTCATCCTGCCAGCACCTCCCTCCCTGCTTGCTATCTTCCCTTCTCCCTTCTTCCCATGGGAGAATTGCCCTGGGGACTTCTCTCTGGTGATGGCAGCTGAGTGGGATGACCTGTGCCTTCCTCCTTGCACAGGGTAGTATCCCTCTGTTTAGCCTGGAGACCTAAGGTCTAAGTGTGCATGTCCAGTGAAAACTACCGTAAAAAGAATCCTTGCAGTTGAAACAATAGCCTTCTCCTAATTGTCCTTTTCTTTTTCTTTTTCTTTTAACTTCTGTTTTCTGAAAAGGACAGGAATCTCAGCTTGGTCCATATTAAAATAAGGATAAGGTATAACCCATTCATTTATAAGAATATGTTCTTTTGAGTATATTTCTATAAACCACATTTCTGAGTTGCAGTAGCTACCAAGGAATATGTTCCCATGCTGCCATTTTACATCTACTCTCTAGAACTCTGGGGGAAAAAAAGTTAATTTTCTTTAAATGCTTTCTTTTGCACATCTCCTCTCTTGTGAAAGGGCCTTTCTGAGGGCTCAATATAGCTCCTGAGGAGTTCAGCAATAATAGGAATACATTCTTAGTTTGTATAGCCAGGATGTGGATCCATTATTTAGAAAGTATTTCAATTGTCTGATGTCATTCAAATTTTCTCTTATTCAGTGCCGACTACCTACCTCTCTGTGGTGGGAGAAAGAAAACAACCCTTCTTCCAGGGGTAATCACACTGCAATCAAACTGCGCGATATGATTAGGTCTGCCTGAGTCCTTGGTGCATTCTCAGAGCACTGAAACAGTGGTCCCTGAGGACCAGTCCATTGTATATCGTTCCTCTCAGTACCAGCAGCTGATAGAAGTCATAGCCTAAAGAAGTTGCACAATCTGAAAAGCAAACATACTAGCAGGGGAACAAAGTGGAAAGCAAGAGCAAAGAAAAACAGCATGAAAGAAAAAGATATAATTGGGAAGAGGGGAAAACAGTCCAAAGGAAAAATACATCCCAAGTAAACATATATATATACATACATATATGAAAACAAAACAAAACACAAATCAAGAAAGTAAATTAGGTCAACAAAAAAGTAAAAGCTAGAATGCTTGCTGTGAAAATGAAAGAAAATAATAAAATCTACATTCTCTCCAAAATCAAACCCAAAAAGAACAGAGCAAACAGAGAACACAGAACAACTTGAAGAAAAGTCAAGATTAAGAAAAAAAATTACTTCTAAAAAGAACATGTCCAGAATAAAATCTGAAATAGCCTATAGGGTGCCTTCACCCTTGACATCTTAAAAGAGGTCTATAAGAAAAAAGTCTATAAGAAGTACTGTCCGCAAAATATACAAATCAGAAATTCAATATTAGTTAGCAGGGTTTCATATGTTTTTATCATTGAAGACTGATCTGTTTTTATTGCACACATAAAGCATATGATACCATTTCTGTTTCTTGTTGGCTAATATTACTCTTCAAAGCAAGGTTGAGGTGCAAATAACTGATCGTGACTTTCAATCTACTCTTCTCCAGCATCTGGGAATGTCATAAATGAGGCCTCATTGACTTCCTGGAACTGAATTTGCACCTATGAAATTTATTATTTCATCAAACTTTCCTACCAACAAAAGTTTTTCTGGAATATTCATATAAAGCAAAAGTAAATAGGACAAACCTGCAACTAAAGTGGAGGCTTTTCCAAGGTCAAATAAGGGATTGCTTAATATTTTTGCTACTTCACTTAGAGGTATCAGAAAGGAAAAGCATTTTAAAAGGTGTTTTTTGCTTGTTTACATTACTTCTCTCTTCTACCAATAACATATTTTGGGGCTGGTGTTTTTTAACACAAATTTACCCTTGTTTAAGCCTCTCCTATAGTGTGTGTATTCTCCCATCACTCCATTCTTCATTCCCTTGTTTTCACTGACTTCAAAGTTTAGAAGTTAAATAAGCAGGCCACCCACTAGAAAGTTAATTTCCAGGGGGAAAAAAAATAGTATTCTGTACAATGAAACACACAAGTGTTTATTAGAAAAACTTTTGAGACCTTTTATTGACAAAAAGGCAAAAAGTGGTTGAAAAGATTTTTGTTACCACTGCACTGGGGGTTTTGAGGCTGCACATTAACATATTACTGGGAACCCTAGTTTCCGTTTTTGTTGAAGTACAGAGACAACAGAAGGTCATTCTATGGTGACAAAACCATATTGTTTTCAAATCTTATTTTGTAAATCAAATGACAGTAACTCTGAGCATGACCATTTCACTATTTCTGACTGCTTTCATTTAAGTATCCTCACAGGAGTGCTGAAAATCAACATCCCAATTATAGATACCTTTGACATTTGTGCCCTTTGTAATATAAGAAAGACATTGCCAACATACAGGAGGGACAGGTGGAGGCTGGTTCACCCTGAAGTGGTGACTTTGGGAGGACCCAACAGCCACCTCCAGAGCCTATAGGGATGGCATCAAGGAAATGGAGCCAGGCTCTTTATAGTGATGTGTGGCTGGAAGGTGAGGAACAACAGATGTTGAAACAAGAGATGTTCAGACTGGAGAAAAGTGTAAACTTTTTCCCCTTCAAGACAGTACAGCAGTGGCACAGACTGCCCACAAAGGCTGTGCAGTCTTTATTCTCTCAGGTTTTCAGGAGCCATCTGATACAGACCTGAACAGCTGGGTCTGATCTCATAGCTACCACTGGTCAGAGCAGGATATTGAGATGGACACCTCATGAAGTCCCTTCCAACTTGAGTTCTCTTGTGATCATGTGCTTTGATGTAAATGGCTAGTGACCAGGTATGAATTACAACAGGCTTCGCATAAGTAACTGTGAGCAATGCTCAAGTACATATATGCTGCTGATCAGCGCAAGCCAGATGACAAAGCCTGAATTTTGTCAAGTATGTTTGTGTATATGTAAGACATTTCAGAGTTTGACTCACCCCAGGCACTCAAAGATCTGCTTGACCAGGACCTGCATGTTGCAAACATGTACCTATACATTTGTAATATAATAATCATTTCCTATGTTTACAAGGATCTCTGTCAGAAGTGTTAAAATATTCATGAATGTTATGTGTCACCAGGAAAAGAGAAACAAATAGAAATAAAAAAAAAAAAAAGCACAACCCCCCCCGCACCAACCCACAGATAAATTCAACCAGAGTTATGCATCACAGTTACACCTCATAAATGGGCATAAGTACTTTATAGAGAGGTTTAGACATATAGTGCTGTGCCATGATATAGGTGAAATTATTTTTAAATTAATATGAACACCTATGAACACCTGAATGATCTGTACATTTTGGTACTTGCTCTCAGTTATGTTTTATGTGCTCTATTGCAAGCACTCTTCAACCCTCTCTCTTACTGTAGTCTAAGGACTGCTGACTTCTTTGTACCGACCTTAAGTAGAACGGTTTGAACTGCAGCCCTGGGCTGTCACTACCTCTCATGGAGAGGTACAACCCACAAAGGGTATAAATCATGACACATTATACTCTGTCCAGCTTCTAGGCTTGCCTCCATAGAGCCATGCATGTTACAGCATTCACCTTTGCAAGCAATGTAATAATCTTTTCCTTGTGCTGTGAGGAATCAGCTTCCCTTGTAAGCAGCACACTGTGGCAGTAAAAGTCATTGCAGTCATAACAAAAATTAGGTGTTTCTCTACTAACAAGCAGTTAGCACTATCTTCAGCTGGGCACAATAAGGATTAGGAGTTTCTACAGGTTGCTGGAAGACACGTTTTCTGTTGCTGTCTCCAGGAGAGGTGTGTAGCCAGCATTTAGCAACAGAGAATGGGGTCTGAGCACAAATTCCAGCACCTTTTGAAGGTTCTGGTCCAGAATTGCTGCTGTCATCAGCTTCTGGGAAGAAGGAGCTAGTTGGATATGCAGGGTCATGTGCTGGTTATGACTGTCTTGATGCTTACCATGGCACTGCAATGAGCTAGAGGAACTTATAGTCTGCTGCAGGGTTTGGTGGCTCTTTTGCAGTAACAAAGGGGCCCCTTAATCCCTCTCTCCCTGTGTCTGGTCTCTGAATGCAGTGTGCAGTGGGTGTCTAGAAGGAATATAAGCACAAGGCATATGTGACAGTAGTTTTCTCATGGTGCTCTCCAATCCTCTGGACATGTCTGGCTCAGGGGGTTGAGGAATAAAGATGGCATGTTCATGTTGGTGTCTCTTGATGGATTTTTCTCCCATTAACTGGTCTGACAGCATTTTCAATGCATGTACCCTTGAAGCACCCTCAAGATACTAATGATTCCCACAGACTACTCAAGCTTTTGCTCTGCAAACCTCTAACAGTTTCTTTTTCTCTACTTCATATTTTTGACTCCCAGTCCTGTGACTGGTGTAAGAGGGGACAAGCAAGAGCTGCTTTCCAGCACTGTTAGGAGAATATCCACCAAGGACATTGTGGGCAGTTTCCATGATTCTTCTGTAGCCCTAGAGGTCAGTGTTAATGTTCATCCTCCTGAAGTGCTTGTACTAATTGCCTTTCCTTTAAAACCCATTCTATTTTTTTTTTCTTTTAGAACCAGCTGTCAGTTCTTTGTTAAAGCTCTGTCAGAGATATTGTGCATACATCTGGTTACCTGTCACAAGTAGTCTGCTATTTTTGATAATGGCTACAGGTCTCTAAAATTGTTTTGCATCTCTAGGCTCTCTGAATCAAGGTGTTGTTTGCAGTGTGCTCATTTCCTATTTTATTACTGGTATAATGATTTCATTGCAAAGATTAGCAGAGTCTTGGGGCCTCTTAATATAAGCAGCCTCACAGCAGAAAAATAAATAAATAAATAAATAAAATATTGATAGAGTTTATTCTGGATGTAAAAAAAAATGCTTTAGATGTTTATTTAGTAATGAGTGGCATGAATTCCTTAAAAATACCCACTGTGCAACATCAAAAGACTGTCAGAAAGGCTGTAAGAAAACAAATAAACAAACAAAAAAAACCATCAGATTTCATGAGAAATTGTTCTTACAATACAAGCATTAAATATTTTTCTTATATTTACACATAATTTAGATTTCTATTTGCAGACAAAGCTCTGTCAGAAACATCCCTGGTTTATCCAGTATTTCAGCCAAGAGTTCTTAGCCATGTAAAATATAAAGGAAAGGACCATTTCAGTTTCTAAGGAGCCACAGGACTCCCTGATGCTTATAAGGTGTCCTGATGCCTGACACAATAACAGGAGAGAGATTAAGTATAAAGCAATTGGAGCAGATAGCCTGAGATGGCTCTTACCGCAGCTGACCATGGTATTCACAGACCGTGTTTCACATTGTGTTAGGCTGAGTCCAAAAGCAAAATAGCAATGTCCTTGGATATATGCTTTTTGGTCCCCATTAACTCTGGGAACTTTGAGTCATACTCTGCTGTGTGGTGTTGCCATGCTTTTAGCTGCCTGAGATAAAGGATTTCCTGAAGACCTCAGGTCTTCAGTAGAAAATACTGATGAAATGGAGAAATAGATCTCCATTGCAGTCCTCTGTCGCTCTGCCAATCCTGGCTTTCCCATACTCTCTGTGAGTGCTCATCACTGGTTGAAGAGGGACATCCCATCACAGCAAATGGTTCCCATCACTAGTTTGTGTCATTCCTAATCTTCTGGTAATGACGTAGAAATAACATAGGAGAGGATGTCCTAGCTTGAGAATATTGCACAGCTTTGTTGTGCAATAGGTGATACAGCTATGTACATTGCTAGCAAAACAGGCGTCAGGAGATTTTTCTGGCAGAGATCTTGGTGCTTATAGGATTACAAGGCTGATGAGAAACTAGTGTGATGTCTGAATCTTCACTTACAATACTGAAGAAACAGTCACAGACCAAACCTTTAAATCTTAATGTGTATCGTTATTTAATTCCACAAAATACAAACAAACACACATGAGATATAAACATGGATAAGTATCCAAGCTAACATGGTTACACTACTAAATGACATAGCTCACAAGTTTTAAGACATTTCATAGTGTTTCACAGTCTTCCTGTAATAACTAAAAAGAAAAAATAAAAAAAGGGATCTCTCAGGGAAGGATTAATATCCTATTTATCTCACTAGTAGGATTGCAAAAATCTTTTTGGGAGAGACTGAAGATCTGAATATGGCATGGTTGGAGCAGGATACAAGTTTTTCCAGTTTTAATGATGCTTGGGTTGCAGGAGCTGAACTGAATGGATTAATTATAGAGAAGACATCAGGAAAAAACATTAATTTTCACATCTGAATTCCCACTTACATCAAAGGTTGGTGGACTTTAGATGAGAAGCAGAATTTAATACCCATATGTAATACTAGACATTTTTATGCCTAAGAACTCCACCTGCCATCAGTAGAGCTGGCTGTTTTGTTTTCAGAGTTCCTACAGGCTGTGTTACCTTCATTTGCCTGTCTCACAGAATCACAGAATCACAGAATCACAGAATTTCTAGGTTGGAAGAGACCTCAAGATCATCGAGTCCAACCTCTGACCTAACACTAACAGTCCCCACTAAACCATATCCCTAAGCTCTACATCTAAATGTCTTTTAAAGACTTCCAGGGATGGTGACTCCACCACTTCCCTGGGCAGCCTGTTCCAGTGCCTAACAACCCTTTCAGTAAAGAAGTTCTTCCTAACATCCAGCCTAAAACTCCCCTGGCGCAACTTAAGCCCATTCCCCCTCGTCCTGTCACCAGACACGTGGGAGAACAGGCCAACCCCCACCTCGCTACAGCCTCCTTCGAGGTACCTGTAGAGAGCGATAAGGTCGCCCCTGAGCCTCCTCTTCTCCAGGCTGAACAAGCCCAGCTCCCTCAGCCGCTCCTCGTAGGACTTGTTCTCCAGGCCCCTCACCAGCTCATATGTTAAGAACTATGATGACACATCTTTATCATGTCCTCATTACATACCAGTATTTCCATACATTGTGCCTTCTTTCCTAAACCTATGCCTCAGTACGCAGAGAGGAGGAAGCTTGTTTAGGCAGTAATTATTCAATACTTTTTAATCTTTGTTCTCTGTAGCGGTTCCTACCTTTTTTGCTGTAAATTTTTCCATTTTTCAAACTCTTCTACAAACAGATTAATTATTTTTTCCCCATTGGAGTTAATTTGTATAGAGTTCTAGCTTTTCACAAACTTTTCTTTATTTTCAAAATGCTTTTGAAAGATAAGTAGTGTCACCTGCATTTTGCAATTGGCAAACAAAGGTGCATAGAGGAAAAGTAAAAGAGAGGATAATTCTGTGTTTCTTTTCAAGCATGTAATGTGATACAGTATTTTACATGTTAAGAGTTCTGCTTCTGTTAATGTCCATTGCAGCTGTGAATCTTCAGTTTCTCACTTTCCTGCCAAATTTCAAGTGCCTTCTCTAAGGACGAGAGTTTATGAAAGAAGAGGTCACCAGCATTTCTAACACACATGAAAGCTAGCCTCGTTCTGAGAAATGCCATGCTCTTAGAGGTAAAATATTCCAAAAAACTTTGTCTGGAGGCAGTCTTGGGGGCATATAACATTTCAGTTTATGTTATTAGGATTTAACAACTCACATGCAAATAGAAAAGACTTATGGTAGTATTTAGCAACCCTAGTAGCAGATGATGCTTTCAGAAAAAGAACATTCCTCTAAAAAAGTACTGTTGAATACTTGATAACCTAAGGGTCATGTTGGCTTCTATTTCAGTCATGAAAAGAATGGCTTGTGCTGTGAATGCTTCTCTGTTCCTTATAACTATGAGAAATACTGCCTCTCAGACCTGTAATAAGACGCCTTTTTATACGTACTTTCAGTTTTAGACCAGATTTGGAAATTTCATTCTGTGAACTATTTCAGAATCTGTTTCCTGAAATTCAGGTATTCCAGTGAGAAAAAGGTGGACTTAAATTCCTTCAAAATTTTTTGTGTGAGTCTTGACAAAATTGAATAGTATTCGTATTATTTTTTTTTTTATTATTTATATCTTTGCACTTTCCATACTATATTCTCCCAACATGGTCTTCTTTTTAAGTTGAAGAATGGTCTTGTAGTTAAAGCATTCAAGTGGGATTCAGAGTACATGAATTCATTTCCCATGCTTGCTTGGAAAATGTTCCATGTGGTGGAATCGTTCTGTCTCTGATGCATTTTCCCATCTGTCAGATGGCTACCATAGTGTAAAGTCTGCCACCTGGCAAGCTTCTAACTAGTTCATACAGCTTATTCTTGTCTTGTCAACTGCTGGTGAGGCAGTTCAACCTGTTGGTTTCACACCGTCTAGGAAGTGATGGACTCACCTTGTGGGTGACCTGTTCATGCACCACAACTGCAATACATCTCAAATACATAAGATATAAACCTGGTGCACACAGATCAATATATGTAAGTTCTCCAACTTGTCCTGGGCCTGCTGGAGATGAGCAGAAGTACAACACATATATGCTCCAATAATTTCTGAAGGTGTCTTGTTCTGTGCTTTGTTGTTGTTGTTTGTTTTGTTTTGTTTTATTTATTTTATTTATTTTTTCTTTCTTTTTCACTGCTAAAAGAAAAAAAAAAGGAACATTTTATCAATTTTTGAATTACAGAATCTTAATGTTGATGAGAATATTTGTATTAGTTATAAATCAAAGAATCACTTTTCCAGTAAAAACTAATGCCCCTTAATCTTAGAACACATCCTTTGCCTTTTTTTTTTGGCAAAAATATCTCTTCAGAACCGTTTTTAGAATGATTATAAATAAATCTATACCACTTTGTATGTACTGTACAGCTATATTACTCTAGCTAATTTTGATATAAGTATCAGGAAGTGAGTTAGCTGCTCACTCTTTTGTGTTTAATGGATCCCAAGTCACATTTTTCCTAGATAATGGAAATGCAATGAGTATTCTGACAAATTCTTTTTATATGAATCTTTCTTCATTTTTACACTAGAAATAATGACAAACATTTATACAATCCTACATCTGAACTAAGTAAATTAATTCAACATTTCCACACTGAATATCTGCTTATGAAGTCATGAATATATTTCCTGTTCTCTTTATTTCTCCAAAGGGATGCCATCCATTCTCTCACCATAAAAGCTGTAATCTAAAGACTGCTGATTGCAGTGTGATTGGTAGCACAATGTTATTTTATTGACACACAGGGTTAAGAAAGTACCTTGGAAGTGAATAGATTTTGAATATATCTTGTTGTTTGATGTCCATTACTTAGAAGAACAAATTCTAATGTGAGCAATTATGGACTTCATTTCTTTGCTGTCCCACAAAGCAGACTTGATTTTTCTTTCATTTATCCTAGCTGTATTCTGATTTAACTTCACTGACTTCACTAATGTTATACTGATTTCAATGTAAGTTAAGAATTAAATTCAATTTGCTTTTGCCAGAATAAATTACTCTCAAGTGGCATGACTCAAGTTGAGAGAAAAGTAAATGGAAAAACTATCCTTTAGTATATTTTATGATCAGGCCTCATCCCAAATTTTACAATACTTCTCCACAGCATTCTTTAGACAGCCTTTGAGATAGAACTTGATCTGATGAGGCCTGATGAGAAGACTCAGGACCTTTGATAGAAACCAAAAGATCTGAAGAGCCAGTCAAGTTGAACATTGCATACCAAAGAAGAAGCATAAGCTGATCACAGTGTTTAATTATTATTACTATTAACTCTTAGGGTTGCAAGAAAGTGACTAGATTGTCAATTGGGCCCTGGGCTGAAGTTTAGTTAAACACGCAGGACACAGAAAACTAGAGGACATAACTTGAGAACCTGCTGGATGTGGTAGAGAACGATACACGAGACTCACAAAGGTCAAAGACAGTGTTGTGAGAGATGGCCAGAGTTCACAGGATTTATGTGTCAGTGGGCTGAACTTCATGGGAATTTAGAGGCCTTTTGAGGGTGTTATTTTGCAAGGTCAACAGTTCCTATCAGAAATACTATGCAAGACTAAGATGACGCAGGAAACAATTAAAAAATGCCAAATCTGTGTATCAACATAGAAAAATTAGGGCCAGTGAGGAAAAAGCAATTAAGCAATTGAGGATAAGTTGTTCACTTGTGAGGAGTCTGGGTCCAGCCTAATCAGGGCAACAAATGAAATCTGTATTTCAGACTGTATGACTTATCTCTTTTCTGCCGCTGTGGTCAGGACTGGGGTGGGAACAGGAGGTTTTATTTTCTGTGCTGAGGACCATCTCGACTATGTGGGTAGACCAAGCTATGTTAGTGTCCATCCTGGCTCCAGTGGCATCGAGATCTACTCAACACTCTCTATAACTAACATTTTAATAGGTTATTGATTAAAAGGTTATGTTCAAACACTGGAAGTTTATTGAAGACTTTGACCAGAGTTAATGTTGCAGAGCTCTAGGTACCACATGTATCTAGACATTCCTATGGTCAATGAGTGCCAGCAATCATCACTTGCATAAATACTACTCAAGTGCATTATGCCTTTGCCTACCCTGGCCAAGCCATAGTTCATCACTGACTGTCAGATAGTCCTTAAGGAGTAATGTTTATCGATTTCTTTGAATTCAACCTACATTGCCAAATAATTAGGTCTACAGCTTCACTTTTTAAAAGATGGTTGCTCAATGAGAAATGCCCTTTTGAATTTAAGTACCATATTTTAAAATCCACTGTCCTGTGACTAAAGTATTTTTAGATATTAAAAAAAATTATTCTGAATTCATGACTCCACAGATTTTTAGTTCCTTCAGAAACAGCCAATCATCCAGTAGAGGGAGCAAAAGCTACCTTAAAAATGACTGAAGAGCATTTGAATTGTATTAGTTAAATAATTTATTGTACAATTCTAATATCTTTTGAATAAATTATTCAAAATTATATTTTTCCATTATTCACCATTTTCTAGTGCTCCTCAAATAATTCACAACTATATTAATCACAATTTTTTCTCAGTGAATTCAATTATTATTTAAAATAAAATATCTATGCCCCAAACTGGGCAAACCACAGAAAGTGATGCTGAAGGCAAATAAAGACATCATCATTTTACTATTCAGATTATTTATATGATAACAGAACATATGAGCCACAACATATTGATTTTAATGACAGGGCAGTGGATCAAGACAAGCGTGAAAATGAAAATAATTGTTGGAAATGCAAAAAAATAGAACAAAGCATTGTGAGAGCTGTTCTAACATTGACAACCACAAACCATCCTTATGTGGTAGAAGAGATATTCTACATGTAAAGATCAAGAGAATGACAAAAAATGACACATTAATAATTGACTATTAAATAATGACAATGTTAAGAAGGAAAAATATTTCCTTCAAGATTGTTGTGAATTGATAGAAATAGCAGAGCTTATGTCTCAAATTTTCACAAACCCTTGGCCTTGAACAACTAATGCAGTGAGAGCTGGATATTAATTCAATTAGGTTGGGGAAGGAGAATTACAAGTAAAGATAAAGTGAACCCCTTTATAGATATCTCCTCAGATTGTAATGTAGCAGAAAGAGGTGCTATTTCAGAATGAATGTGGCATGGGATAAAATGACTGAGATATACAGTCCTAGAGAATTTGAAACCTTCAGCTCAAACCAAAGGCCTACACCTCTAAAATTCCTGGAAGCAAAAATGCTATGAGGATATTTAATTTCCAGTCTGAGTGCTGTCAGCAATGGTAGAAAATTAAGCCCAGGCATCAAAATACTACTTCCATAACAAATATGCATCCTCAAGCTACTGTAGACCAACAAAGTTGCTCTACATGTATTTAAATTTTGTTGTACATTGTGACAAAGGTAAATAAAGCTATAGCTGATCATCTCACTTTAGCATTTTATATTTGTGTTTATTCAATCAGTAAGCTTTGTGTCATGGCTGGTACTTGTTTTTCCCTGGGAAAACAATGTCAGCAGGCAGTTCCTGCTGAAGCAGAAGGTTCTGAAGAGACTGTGCAGGAAAAAAAAAAAAAAAAAAAAAAAAAAAAAAGACTGATGATTTGTTTTCCTTTCTGATTTTATATATACTAAGCTTGTGTATTTGTGGCATATTGTAGTTTGGCTGAGGTAAATGAGAATATTAACTCATGCTGATTTCAAGCTACCAAACATATGTGTGTTGTGTGTGTTGTTCTCATTGAAATCAGTAAGTTGTATGAGGAATAGATTTAGAACAGCACCAAGATTTTTTTGCTTTTTTTTAGTATCATGACAAGTCCAGTCTTATCTTTAATCTGTGACCGGTGAAGTCTATCCCAGAGTTATGCTTAACATGCCACCTGTGCTACATCTGACATTAAACTCAAGATTTTTAACTGCTTTTCCTTTCATGCAGAATTAGGGGAAGGATAAGAAAGAGGATGTCAGAGTATTTGCTATCATAACCTATGTAGGTAACAGTTATTATAAAACACCCTTGCCTACTCCTACGCTGCAGGTGCTGCATTTCCATTTTCTCCTGGATAAAACTAATGCTGATTGTACTCACCTTGATCTTGCAGCCCTTCCTCCAGCTGGTTTCTGTATGCAGCCTATGAGACTAGGTTCAGAAAGTACAAATGCACGATGCCATCCTTAAAAAGGCATTAGAGAGGGGGCTGACATACTTGCTGCATTCCAGTTATGATGACCTTGCAGTAGGGTTAGCATGGGACCAATGAACCAAGGCATTGTATTTCAAGCTATTGAACACTGCCCCCTCCCTTACAGTTTCAAAGGGAGAGATTTGTATTCTAAATGAAGCAATGACCTTTGATCTTGTTTTTTAATTAAGCACCTAGCTAGAAGGTTTCATAGGCCATGTTATTACCCGTGGGTTTATTATTAGATATTAAGATAAAGGATTCAGAGAGTACGTGGTCCTGGGCCTTTTTCTTTTCTTACAATGCCTTAAAGCTTGCTCTCTGTGAGTTTAAAGATTTTACACCAGCAATAAAATCCAAAGTATTAAAATAAAGGCTCATCCTTATAAAGAGGTTTCAGTGGGGCTTCTTTAAAGTTAATATGCAGATTTTGTCCTCTGTTATCTCAAAGAATTAGGCATATTAGAAAAGGGTTGGTCATTGAAAAAAAGACAAGCAAAATGAGACACCAATGCTAGCTCCTACCTGCCAAAGCCCTTCCCACACACACAAGCTTTGAAGCAGAATAAAAAGACTAAGTGAAGCCATAATTACATCTTGTTTAACCTGGCCCTTTAAACAGCTAACCCTTTAACATGCTTTTCTTTTCCACACTTCTGCATACTGCAGAACTCTCCCAATCAGCACAGAGCTTAATCAACAGATGATTAAAATCAAATCTATACTTTGTGTTTCTACTCTGCTCAATATTACATGCGTACTTAAAGTTAAGCATATATTTAATGGCTTTGAGGACTCAGAACTTTTCTCTTTTTTTCTTCAAGATGTCTTTCCTTTTTCTTTTGAAAATGTGGTTAACATTATGTACTATATGCCCTTGTGGGAAAAATTAATCTTGGACTGGAATGTATAGGGATTTTTGTCCTAATAGGATTTAAACCATTGTTTTTTGTTTGTTTGTTTGTTTATTATTTTTCTTTGCTTTTCAGTATTCACAATGGCTGGGAAGAAATGGGTTTCTGTGGCTATTTCCCACATTTGTGTCTGTTAGGAAAGTGCTCTAATATCCATTTAGTTCGTGGTGATTACACAAAGTGCAGAAAATAGGATTAGTGCCTTTGACTACATTTTAAAAGATAACTGTCTGTCTTCATATTTTGGTGCTGGATGTACTTTTCTCTCTCTCTTTATACCCTATGCTAAATCTCTGTAAGTTTCAAAAAGAAGCAGACTGGAAGTCCCTGACTTTGTTGGTTCCTATCACTCCTAAGGGACACATTTTCACAGTAACTGTAACTATCTGAATTTTGATGTATTGAAAAAGTTAGTAAGGTGCTGGGGAAGGCGAGAAAGATGAGAAATTAGCTTCCAAGAAAAACAACTTGATATTTTGCTCAGTGCTGTATAGAAACCTCATTAGGAGAGAGTGGTGTGATGGATGTATACTCAGGTTAAATAAGCCTTGTCCCACTGGTGGTTGCTCTCCTCCAGTCTGTACTCTTGGCTGTTGTACTAGTTCTCTTCCTCTTTCAGAGTTGTAAGAGCTATTTGTCTCAGATGAAGCATCCACTGCATGAGCTCAGCCTGTAGCCTGAATGCCACCGGTAGCAGTATATCAGGCTCCCAAAATATAATGTGATTACTTCATAGCATTCCTATTCTGAAGTCTCTTCTCACTGAAACTGATCTAAAAAAAAACAATTAAAAAAAATTAAAAAATGCAAAAACAAACAAACAAAACCTCTCATCACTCAGCAATATAGTCCTGTTTCTTTTGAAATTATTTTTTTTCCAAGAAAAATTCAGAACAAATACATATGAGTGCCAGAGCATCAAGAGGAACTCTGATATTTCAGGTTTCCTGCTGAAGAAAGACTTTGTGTTAGATACACAAAAATATCATGCTTGCAGTATTCTTTGCTTATACCAGATTACATAAACGTGTGTGACCTCTATACAAAATAATTCAGAGCCTCAACAAATATATTCCTTTTCTTACCCACCATCTCTTTGTCATCAATGTAGCTTGCAGAGGTGAGAAGAGTCAGTGAATTAATTTTACTCTGAGAGAATTTTAAAAGCAGGAGAGTTTTAAAAGCCCCTCTCATTCCGGTTACTCCTGCCGACTTCATTAGCTTTTCACCCCTGAAAGTCACAGGTCAATCTCATATTGAAAACTTGCTCCCACACAGTTAGGTAATGCCCTTGGTAAGAAACTGCAATTAATAAATAACAAACAGTAATACATGTGAGACAATGCACACCCTGCAAGAAGAGAGTCTGAGATTTTATAAAAAGATGAACAATGTATTTTCAGCTTCTGAAGCAGAAACAAAGACAGATCCCCTCAGTCCTCTGTAGCTGTATATTGCTCCACAAATTTATTGCAAGAAGTTGTTTTTCCCCTCTGTAAACAATTCAGATAGATGTGAACAACTTCCAAATAGCAACATAAGTTTAATTCATCTGTCTCAAGTGACATAACATATGTCACTAGTGCCTGTTGCAGAACCACAGAAGTCTGCTACACTGTGTAGTATTATGCTTTATAGCCATACAAAGAGTGTCATTAGTACCAGAGCATTTTGAAAGAGGAATCTATGTAGCAACTACAGCGATCCTTTCTACATGCGTCTCCCTTCTGCAGGTGGGTAAATTTAGCTTTTTTGGGGGAGAGGATTGGTAGGAAAATCCAAATTATCTTGAAAGGGAATTGTTTACTGCACTTTTTCTAGGCTAAAAGAAAATATTTTCTGTTTCTCTCTTTCCATTTTCTATTTACTGTGAATGTAAAATGAGATCTGAATGAGAGAAGCAAGGTAAAACTGTTGTTGATTCACTAAAATGCCTAGCCTCATCTCTGGAAATTCAACCAATTTTCACTATAATCTCTTCCTCTTTACTAGTCTGCATAGTATAGTTTGGTATTTGACAATGTAATCATTTCAACCATATAACATAAAATCTGGATTCGAGTGAGATTATGTTAACCTACTAGAGACATTTTTTAATAGTGTCAATAGGTGACACTAACCAATAGTATTTCTACCAGAAAGAAATGTAACAAATTGAGGTTCTATAGTCACCAAAGAATAAACTATAGACTGCTATGAAGCCAATAGCTAACCTAAACCACCCCTTTTCAGAGAAATATGAAGCCAAGCAGGTAGGAAAACCTTGAGTAGCTCTGATAGATGATTTATTGAATCAGATGTATTAAAAACAATGCCACTATTTATGTAATAAAGTCAGCCAAGCACGCCAGTCTGTTCTTCTACAAACAACTCTGGGTTCATAAATTTGCATACAATTTCAGAGCCTGCCTATGTAGGTAATAATACTAGCTCTTTAGCAATGTCATGTCCAAAGGTTTACGAATAAGTAGTCATGGCATGTGTTATCTATTATCTATAACACTGACTGTAATATTTTAACATAAAAAAAGTTTTCATACAATTTAAAAATATTGAAACCTAAGAGTGGAAACAAGCCTGAAGACATGATAGTTGCACTTTTAAGAGTCAAACAAGACATTGAGAAAGTAAACTCTCCATTTAGCCATTTCTTTACAGTGAGAGCCCCCAAACTATTTATCAGCCAGAGATGACAAAAACAACTCCAAAGAATATATACAACCCTCCACACTGAACAGATGTTTTACCACTTACATGCTACAGTCCTGAAATTTTTAGAATTACTCAGACGCTGCAGAAGCTGTGAGGCCTCTCTGTTTATTGCTCCTAGTGGATATAAAATCAAATAATGATTTGTTTGTCGTTTTATTTTATGGAAAGTTTTACACTGTCTAGTCCAGAACAACTGTGTTGATCTTCCAAACGAGACATAAAACTTGAGGTTTTAACCACTTCTGTTCATTAATATCCCTTGAGGGTGTAGGGGAATTTTTCTGGGGCAAGATTATGAGTGTAAGCGTCCTGACTAAATTACCACTCTGGTAATTACATTCATCTTATCTGCGTATCCCCCTGCAGCTTCAATGGAATATGGTTTCTTCTTCTCCCAATGTGTTGTGTTGAACTGTTATGTGCTGTTAAATAGTTTGCTTAAGTATGCTCAGAAGCTGCCACTGGCAACATGTAGCCTAAATTTGCCTATTAGGCACTTGCTATCGCTTCTCTTTCTGATTGTGCCCGAGAGAATGGCATGGAGCTGGGACAGAGGAGGGTCAGACTGGGTGTAAGGAAAAGATTCTTCACCCAGAGGGTGGTCAGGCACTGTGACAGGCTCCGCAGGACAGTGGTCACGACACTGAGTCTGCCAAAGGTCAAGAAGCATTTGGACAATGCTCTCAGACACAAAGTCTGATTTTTGGGTGGTCTTGTGTGGAGCCACTCAATGATCCTTGTGGGTCCCCTCCAACTCAGGATATTCTATGGCTCTATGATTCTATATTTTCAGTGCTGCATACTACCTGTTTCTCAGAATTTCCTTGTGGGAAAGGATATGGAAAGGGATTTTCAAAACTGCCTAAAGATGTGAAGTGCAAAATTTGCATTCAATTTCAGTGAGGGTAAGGCACCTAAACCCATAGGCCCCTTGGAAATCCTAGCTATTGAATATAACAGCAGGGAGCAGAGCCAGAATCTCCATGCAGTCCTTTGGGAATTAGGCTACTGCCAAGCCAAGCCTTTTTATGTGTAAAATGCTCAGATACTACAATGACAGAGCAATACAAAACCTTATGCAGACAGATAATAAACAATGATTAAATATGAAGTAGTGCCTTTTCTTTACCCAAATAAATGGCACTGAGTTTGCCAGTTTTGAAGGAGGTATTTTGGCTCTGCTCTTGGGACAGTGGAAACTGTTGATAAGAAAAGCAACACATCAAACAATAATAAGGTGATACTGGTCAATTTAGACCACTGTGGTCTAAGAGATACCTTGGCACACACAGAAAAGTTAGCCTTACCTAGTGGGTGAATGAAGAGGTTAACAAAGCTAAGGTAAAGGCAAAAGAGACTGTTCTGGGGTTGTGATGAAATCCATTACAACTAAGAATTTAGTCAAACAATTTCTACCTTTCATTTGGGGTGAAATGCTCACCAAGAACAATCTACTGCTGCTGTCTTTTGAGATTTTAAAATGTCACGAGTTAGAAAGAGCTACCAATATGTGTAAATGGGTGCTTGTGCTTGGCTGGAGGAATGTGTAGTTGTAATCATGAAGTATTCCATACATGGGTACAAATCTGTTCACAGTGCTTTCTCTTTTTTTTTTTTGTAAATTGCTTTGTTTAGATGAATTCTAATGAAAGAAACATAATTAACAAACAAGAGTTGATTTATCTTTTGATAATTTTAGTTCCCTCAATTACAATTTTCAGGGATTGACTTTACCACAACCCACTGTGAACCTACAAATACATAGTTATGTAGCTGATATAACAAAGGGAAAGTAGTGTAGTTATATCTGGTCAACTTTGTCTTTGGAGTTATGCATTTTGCAATAAAATAAGTAGCATGATTAGGCAACAAAAGAAATTTTATTCTTAAAACAAATGGCAGAAGAATGGTTGGCTGTACAGTATTATTTCATTTGGCCTGGACAGCTTTCGATGACATCATTTACTTACACATTAGAGGGATAGGAATGTAAGACAATTTTCCTGGCAAATTAAATATATTGATATTGGAGTACAAATAAAAAGTTAAAACAGATCCACCATTCATCTTTGCAAGTAAAAGTAAAATACAACATGTTTTGTATTAGTATAGTTTGGATAAGTTATGAGCAACTGGCTGCAAGTGAGTGATCCAGAGTTCTTTGAACTTTGTCCTAGGAATGAAGGTCATAAACTGCCAGCCAATATGTGGAACTCCAAACTGATAACCACTGAATGGAAACAGGATTGAGGGAGTGTCTTTGCTGGAGAATCATGTGAACAGAAGTTGCTGATGCTTTGTCCATGCATTGGCAGTTGTAATAGTGAAAAGAGTATGGAGAGAGAAGAGAGTGGTTAGGTTAGGACATTGTGCCATAGGGTCTATGTTGGGATTCTTTGTTAGCTCAAGGAAGGCACTGGGAAGTTAAAAGAGCTCCAGAAAATTGTGACAATGGTTTTAAAAGCTGGGTGGGAGAAAAGGATTCCACAAGCTAATTTCATCTAGTTTATAACAACAAGGTTCCTGGCAAGCTGAACAGAATCTCTAATGGCTATGCAGGGAAGATAATTAGCTCTTCAATTTGGGAAGCAACAGTAGAACTAAAACAAAGTGCTGGAAGATAAGGCTAAGGCTAATATTGGATATTTTCTATAAAATACTCTATATTTAAATTAAATAAATTAGTACTGTTACACAGCATATGTTAAACAGAACAGTCTGGCACAGGTACTCCTTCTGGCTTAATTAGGCAATTAGGTGTCTTGGAAATCAACAGTAATACTCATCAGAACTTCAGTAGAAAGTGGTAGAAACACCACATTAAGGCCCCACATGCATTTTCCTTACTCTTGGGAGCCCCTAGGTATTCAAAAAGTTTCAAAGCTGGTAGTAAAATTTGGCCGTGCCTCAATATTATGGCATTGTCAGTGGACAACAACTCCTTACTCTTAAGCATGATCAATTCAGAAAGCAAATCTTGTTGTTCCTGGCAATTTGTTTAATAGCCTTAGGCTCTGACGCAGAAAATATGTGAGTGCAGTCAGATTTACCTGTGTTCACACAGGAGCTTTCTTCATTTGTTCAAATGAAGAAAGGAGATGAGCAGGATACTCAAAAGCAGGAAGCAGATTTCCACCTGAGCATATCACTCCACATGCTGTTTTGAATTTGGCCATTGAGATAGTGTGAGTGTTCAGCCAGAGTGCTTTAGCCTGCTAGTTGAATTGATTTTGTACAGAAAACATTCGTGGAACAAACATTGGAGATCCCACTGTGTGTGCCTGACTGGGGATGGTACTGGAATTATTGGCTGTTTAACAAAGGTTTTGTATTTATTAACTCACAACAGTTTGTTTACTTATTTATTTATTTATTTTGGTGGCTCAGAAGTATCTTTTTAGGCTTTGAACAAAGACGCTAGCAGAGGAATCAACCAACTGACTGACCAACCAAAAAAAAAAAAGCACAGTTGATAGAGCAGGATTGATTTCTAAGCAGGTC